CAGCCGTGTGTGGGTGAGGGACAGGGAGTCCTTCAGACGCTCGCTCTACAACCAACGCCGGTATTTGATCGATGATCTTGTGATTGGTGACTACGGTGATAATTGCAGTCCTATTACTGCTTCACAGGGTGGTATCTGCCGCTGCAACAGAGGTGGGCGGACGGTCTACATGAAGCGGTTCGTGGAGGGGTATCGCGCTGAGAACATATTGCGCGGAGAGCTTACGATTTCTCCTTTGAGGTGCTTTACGGACGGTATAAGACTATTTGCGCCGCTGAATGGAGTTGTTCTCCTGATGACTGACGATGCCCATGCGGTGAGGGCAACGCTTGGCATGAAAACCGGTGCAGTCGCTGCGCTGGGTATCCAGCTGAACGTCACGGATACAAACAGCATTACGCTTGAGCTAATAAATACCTCAACAGCTAGTGCAGAGACTGCACTGAGGGATGCGAAGAAGAGAAAGCGCATCCATGCCGTGGGTGGTGTGGTGACAGAGGATCTGCTCGATGACGAATCTGTGGTATTTATTGACCCACAGAATATTCACGCGACGTTGAGCAAGTTTCGCCGGAATGTCATCCACCTCTCACCGACGCTGGAGCAGGAGTTCTTTGTGCTTGCGCAGTACCTTGGCAGCACGAACGGCGTTAAAGCTAACTCTGTGATCCGCAGCGACGAGGCGGCTGCAATAGCGGATGTGTTGCGGCGGTCACTTGTGACGTTTGGTCAGTCGCTTCCGTCCTCCACGCTGCTGGCTGGCGGTGACGCGCTGGGGGACTACCTGCCGCGTAAGGGCGATGTGTTCGTCGTGGGCCTTGCTGCTGCCGATGTTGCTGTGATCGCAGAGCACCTGGCGAAGAACCGCGGTGTGCGTGTACTTGTGCTGTTCGCGGAGGTCTCGTGGTTGTACGATGAGTTTGTTGCTGCGTTCAATGGGAGTGGGGATGCTGGGCGCCTTGTGTTCGCGACGAGCCTGCCGCACTGGGCAGACATTAATACCACGTCTGAGACGGTGCAGCGGTTCCAGGATGCTGTGGAGGAGAAGACGAATTGGACGCCGTTGGCGTTAAGGGCGTTTGCCAGTACAATGGTGGTAAAAACCATTCTCTCTCGTATGGAGCTGGTGAATGCCAAATTATTGGTTGATTTCTTCTACAAGAATGTTGCCATCACTGTGGCTGATATGCTTTACGGACCCTTCAAGGACGGCAAGAGGTGCGGTGGCCAGAATAACGTGAGCTCTGCTGAGTGTGCTGTGAACTACGGAGCGAGGCGTATTTCGGTGTGGTCGATGGCCCGCGTGCTGGACCCCGCAGTGCCTGAGCTGTTCCCCGCAGTGACGCCGTCGATGGAGTACGGGGAGCCCGATAAGAATGGTCTCTCAGATGATCAGCTTATCGCCGTCATTGTTGGCTCCATTTCCGGAGGTGTACTACTGGCTGCTCTGTTTGCGTTTTTCTGCTGCCGTGCGATTCGTGACAACAACAACGCCCCGAAGGAGCCCACAGAGCCCGTGACGCTTGTGTTCACTGACATCGAGAGCAGCACTGCGC